TAATAATAATAATAATAATAATAATAAGTGCACAAAAACAAAGAACAAAAAAGGCAAGTAGACAAAAATAAAACACACGGAATATGTTTTTCAATATAAACCGAATTCTCAGAATACAGTTTTGCTTCTAAAACGTATTTCTAGAATACGTTTCCCCTTATAATGATTAAATAATCTAATTGAGTTAATTAAACTTAATTAAATTAAATAAAACGTATAATAGAAATACGTTTTATATATAAACGCATTATCGAAATACGTTTAAAAATAAAATTAATTTTAGAACTCTAAAAATAATTTGTTTGCAGAAAATAATATTTTCCAAAATTTAAAACATATTGTGTAAATACGTTTTACATTAAAACGTATTTCGTGAATACCTTTTTTTTAATAAAACGTATTCACGGAAAACGTTTTACTGTTTAGAAAAAAAAAAAAAAAATTGGATCAATTTCACGACCAAATAAACCTGTTCAACCAACTCATATCAATCAATTCGCCAAATAATAATCCAACATACACTATAGAAAGAACGATCAACCACAATAATTTATTCAAGAAACACAATATACAAAATGGTCTTGATAGGTGTAGCAGCTTCTTCTTCTTCACCTAAGTAATTAATTTTTTTTAAAAGAAATTCGACTGGACAAAACAAAAAAAAAAAAAAGAAAAAAAAAAGTTATTTTTTGTTAAGTAAAAAATTCTCACATTCTTCGTATTCCTCAGGCCCGGTGTTGGCAGTGGGATCGCGGGCATGGCAACTTCAACCTCCACCAATGTTAGCAGTCGGTCGATGTCTCGCCCGGTGTGACTGTGTCTTCTGGAAAGCGACGTAGTATTCTTGAGATAGAAGTTGACTGGACGACGCCCCTTGTCTGACCTCTTGGCCTCCAACAGTCATAGAACTGTAGAGAATGTTCTGGGCCTGTTGGAATGCGGTCTGCACCTGTAGAGGGACTGTATCCAATAAGTCGTGAACACTCTGTAACGTGTTATAAGCCCTCTCCATGGCACTATACTGAAAATAAATTTCAAACTAATTAATATGAAACACCAAAAATAAATAATAATAATAATAATAATAATAATAATAATAATAATAATAATAATAATAATAATAATAATAAATAACAATTTCTGAACTTACGTCACACTTTCTCCGCTCGACAATTGTCTAATAGCCTCCGTCCTGCTGGACCACTGGATAGTTATTAGGGTTACTGATCAGTCTCACAGTCCTACTGTGAAACCAATCAATGTAACCCTCCTCAGGCTGTAGGAATTGATCCACAAGTTCATCTGAGATGACATTTTGGTCTCTCTGTTTGACCCAAGCCTTTCCAAGCTCCAAATGAATGTCGGCCCAATTAGTAAATGGCCTCCCAGTCATTCCCTGGCCTCGGTGGTGTGTGTCCCATTCGGTCTCACCCCTAATGATCGGAGTTTGGGGGATGGACAGACGACACCTAAACTTACGGAGGACCCTACCAGGCTGGTGAGGCTCACAGATGTTCCAAAAGAAGATCCACCCCTTGTACATCCAAACATGTGGATCTTCTGTACACTCGTCCCGAGAGTAGAAGCCTCGATGAACTTCGCATAGGTAACATCAAACTGAAAAAAAAAATGAATAAAAAAATAAGTTATAAAAAATTTAAAAATAATAAAAAAATAAATTAATTAATAGAACTTAAGAAACTTACATCCGCCTCTCTCAGCCCTGTCAGTTGATCCCGGACAACGCCGTCCCCTTGCCTAGGTGTCTCATGTCCCTTCGTCCCACCCACCTTAAAAATCACAGAAAGAAACATTGTAATCAGAAAATTTAATACTCCCTCCTTTTTTAAATAAATGTCGTTTTGACTTTTTGGATTCATCTATTTTACTATGTATCTAGACATTAATATGTCTAGATACATAGCAAAATGGATGAATCAAAAAAGTCAAAACGACATTTATTTAAAAAAGGAGGTAGTAATAGAAATAACTTAAGTATTAAATATAAATAAATGTTCATACCTTGCACCTAAGGGACAACCACGTACAGAACCAAAGTGCGTGTACTTCATTATTGGGCGAATGCGATGGATATGTTCCCATGTCCAAACCTACACATATTGACATATGTACTTTTTTATTAGATATTAGTCTAAATTAGAATAAAAAAATAAATTTATAAATAACAACTAAATAAATATACCTGAATCAATGGCACACATCCCTTGATCCATTCTTCCCCGACCTGGTAGGTTGTGCACAACCCTCTATACAATCTGGCGAGGACCGCTGCACTCCAGTTGTACCCCTTAAGCTCATTGATGTTGCGCAGCAGCTGCAACCAATACAGGTTGACTCCGTTGGCCCGCTGGTCGGGGATGAAGAAGGAGTCAATGCGCCAGAGTATAAAGGCTCTTGCCCTTTGTTCGTAGACTTCAGGGTCTTCTTCATTTGATAGTTGTCTATTGTGTTCATCTTCTAATCCCTTAATCTTCAAAAATTGGCCTTTAATGGCACAAGATTTGGGGTCGTACGCAGGTCGTCTGCATCCTGGTATTGTTTTTAAAAAATAAATAAAAACCGAGCAAAAAAAGAATACATATATTAAAAACGAAATAATAGAGTATTTTATAGTATAGTATATTATACTATATTATATAGTATATACTATATAATATAGTATATTATATAGTATAATCTAAAATATAGTATATAGTATATTATAGTATATTATAGTATATATTATATTATATAGTATATAGTATATTATAGTATATTATAACATATTATAGTATATATTATATTATAAAGTATATAGTATATTATAGTATATACTATATGTTATATGATAGACTATATACTATAAACTACATATATAAAGTATATCATAGTATATTATAACTATGAGGTATGCTCCCCTACCCACGGTGGACACATGTTAATATGTCCACCGCTTATGTGTTATGCACACATTGGTGATGTATTTTTTTAAACATATTAACATGACCAATGTGTGCATGGCACGTAAGCGGTGGGCATATTAACACGTGCCCACCGTGGGTAGTGGAGCATTACCTATTATAGTATATTATAGTATATTATAGTATATAATATATTATACTATATTATTGTTATCATCCAACCCGGTAATCCACGATTATTCACCCAAAATCGCATGTTAGAAGAATCATTATCGGTACTAGCCTAACTCATGATCACTTCGATTCATATTACGGCCGAATTTCGGCCCGACGTGGAGAAAACCGACCTACCCTACAAAAACCGAAGTCACTATAACCGAGGTCACTGTATCCAAAGCAGGTGACAAGGCGCACACGCGACATGTTCGAATTCCAATAAAAATCTCATCATCTATGTGGGTCCCGCTCACATGGCCGCCCATACAAAGCCACTTTACGAAAAAGCGACGGCACACCTCGAGATTCGAGCCCAAAAAGATACTATAAATAGAAAATCCATATACTTGTACAGGGATCGCACTCTGAACATTGTGATATATACAAAACTGCTCAACACCTTTCACCTCGGTTCACCTCGGACCGGGACAATTGTTCTCGTTTTGATGCGTGCTTTACGTTCATATTAGTTAAAACACCTTGCTAAACACATTGAAAATCGTTGTTAATAACCATACAACAACAATTGGCGCTAGAAGGAGGGCCTCATTAGATATCTGAGGCTAATCTTCGATTTGTTGTTCATCAGCTGCATCTTCTGGTAAATCCATTCTAACCATGTCCCAGCTGGAGCGTCATGGTCACACCTCACGAGACGGCCACAGTCGTAGCGCCGCTCAATCCGCCGGCGTCATCCGGTGGTACCAAATATTCTCGATTACGCTACTCTGTTTTAGAATCCAGAATTTGCGCGCGGGTTTGACACTTTAATGGCTCGGACTGTTCCCAGGATGTCGATGACGGTTCCAGGACAGTCTGTCGTCCCTATGACAACCATAAATCTGCAAATCCCACCGGCGCGATGAGGCGGCGATGGGGCCACCTCACATGCGACGTCTCAACCTCGAAGTCATACGTCTCAACCAAATAGAGCAAAACAGCTCATCAGACAGAAGCCACTCGTGCCCCTCTGGTAATTCCTCACGAAGAAACTGCCGAAAGTCAATCTGAGCAACCTCGGCGTTTGCCATTCCTACGCAGCCTCGAGCCCATTCCCATCCGGCACGAGCGGATCTACGTCAGCAGATAGAGAGAAATCATTCAGCTCGACAAGAATCCTCAGAATTAGAAGCTTTACGGCGGAGAATTGTCGAATTGGAGAGTCGACAAAGAGTGCAGGAAGATCCCCCCCTGCCGGGCAACCACTTCGGCACAAGTATATTTGGAAGTCGATTCTCCTCTAACTCCTGAGCTCAGCTCGGAACCAGTACCTGGAAAAGTCAAAGTCCCTCAAATCGGACTGTATGATGGAACATCAGATCTCGACTCCCACCTCGGTCATTACACCTCATGGATAGATCTTCATGGAGCCTCGGATGCACTTCGGTGTCGTATGTTCTCTCTCACTCTGGGCCCAGAGCTCAAAAATGATATCACTCTTTACCCTCTCATTCCATTTGGAAGTGGCAACAGTTGAGGTCGGCTTTCCGATCTCATTTTATAGGAGCACAAGTTTGTTTAGTTCCAAAAGAATCCCTAGCCAATATAACCCAGAAAGATGAAGAAAGCGTCAAAGATTATGTTGCCCGATTCAATGTCTGAGTTCCAAAAATGGAACCCTGCCATCCTGAAACCTTGCTTGTTATGGCAATTGCCGGATTGAAACCAAATTCCATTTTTTGTTGGACATTGTGCCAGAATAAGCAAAACACTTTCCAGGAGTTCCTTGCCCGAGCTAAAAAACATATCATTGCCGAGGAAGCTATGTCGGTCCCCTACTTTAATTTCAATCCAAAATCATCCAAATCGGGAACCGACGATAAGAAGAAAATAAGTCCTTCACTAAGAAAAAAAAAAAACAAGTCTCAATTCTGAGGTTACCCCCGAGGAGACGCTAATGACACCGAAGTTAGAGCAGCAGTACGCTAATGACGTAAAATCGGGATACCAAACCGTATATTCAGCTGGGGCCGCTACGATTTATGAAGAAATCAAGGGGAAAGGCATTCTGCCTGAACCAAAACCAATTCTCATGCCGGAGGACAAGTTGGATAATTCACGATATTGCGACTATCATAAATCACCAGGACATAATACCGATGAGTGTCTGAGTTTGTTGGCGGCCTTATTACGTCTCGTCGGTCATCCTCAACTCAGGAAATTCTATCGAAACACCGATGCCCAGAAACTGGGGCCGGGACGTCAAATCGAGCCCTATGATGATGATGAGGACGAAGACCGAGGTGCTATGCCGAAACAAATCCGACAAGGAGAAAAAGAAGTGTTTATGCTCACTTTGGGTATGTTTAATGTTGACGCTGCTGTAAATTCTCGAAGACCTAAAAGGAACCGATCTCCAAGCCCAATGCAAATCACCGTTCACCGAGTAAACACCAATAATTCGAGAGTTGTGTCATATCGTCGTCAAATCAAAGCCTACGGTCGACATACTTACAATTTGGGTAAACAGGTTTTCACTACTGATTTACGAGATGTGATCAATGCCCGAAATTTTCCCATCACTTTTAACATGAAGGACGCAAATCTTATTGCACATCCTCATTCCGATGCTCTTGTCATCACTGTTTCGATATGTGGGATTCCTGTTCATCGAGTTATGGTTGACACTGGGGCCTACTCAAGTATTTTGATGTTGAAAGCTTTCGATAAAATAGGCCTTGACCCCGCAGACATCCGACCTTGCAATGATCAGATACAAGGATTTAATGGAAGTATATCCCAACCTATCGACAAGATTATTTTGCCCGTTAGATTTGGTACATCCTAACATGCCACGAAACTTGTGATGGAAACCATTGAAGTCTTTGACATCAACAACGAATACAATGCCGTCATCGAGAGAACCGCCCTGTATAAGCTCTGAGCTGCCGTTTCTATTTTCCATTGCGCACTCAAATTTCCTACAACGCGCGGAGAAGGTACTCATTATGGTGATCAAAGGGAGGCTTGAGAACTCATCATTCTTACACCGTCTGCTGGCGTTCATTCGGCCACTCCGGTCGAAAATGGAATTTCCCAACCATCAACCTCCTTGGAAAATACGACTTCCGAGGTCCCAGCTCATGAGCCCGTAGCGCCCATTACCACGGATCCTTTAGGAGAAGACCGAGGGAGATGGCCTGGAAAGGAGCCAATCCGAGAAGAAGACGAATTAGACCCTCAGACTCAGTTTAAAGAAAAGAACCGAAGTAATCGAGCCGAACCCGGGGAAGAAGTGGAACTGATTTACGTCGACGAACCCTCGTGCCAAAAGTCGTTACGTATTGAAAGTCACCTCCAAGAACCCGTTCGATCCGAACTCATTACGTTTCTCAAAATTAATCCTGACGTCTTTGCGTGGAAACACGAAGACATGAAGGGCATTGACCCCGGTATTGCTAGCCACAAATTAAACCTTGATCGGACTGTCAAACCTGTTCTGCATAAATGAAGAAAACTGGGGCCAGACCGTCAGAAAGCCCTGGAAGAGGAAGTCAAAAAGCTCGTGGACAATAAGTTAATCAAAGAGGCCAAATACCCGACGTGGGTATCTAATCCCGTCCTTGTTAAAAAGAGCAATGGTTTGTGGCGACTGTGCATAGACTTCTCAGACTTGAATAAAGCCTGCCCGAAAGATAGTTATACACTTTTCTATATTGAGTATATGGTTGATGCTACCTCGGGCCATGAGTTGAAGAGTTTTATGGACGCTTACTCGGGTTACAATCAAATTCCCCTAGATCCCGAAGAATCAGAACACACTTCTTTCTATTCTGCCCGTGGTCTATACTGTTATACCATGATGCCCTTCAGATTGAAAAATGCCAGAGCCACCTACCAACGTCTGATTAATAAAATGTTTGCCAACCTGATCGGTCACATCATGGAAGTGTACGTTAATGATATGCTTGTCAAGTCGGTAAACGCCTCCGACCATGTGACACATCTTCAAGAAATATTTGAAATTCTTCGTTCTTATTCCGTGGTTCTGAATTCCAAAAATTGCACTTTCGGAGTCGGATCCGAAAAGTTCCTCGGTTATATGGTCATTCAACGGGGAATTGAGGCTAACCCTTCCAATATCAAAGCTATTCAAGATCTAACTCCTCCGACGTCGGCCAAAGGCATCCAAGCCCTAACCGGCCGACTTGCTGCGCTTAATCAGTTCATCTCCAAATCTACCAATCACTGTAAACCCTTTTTCGAAGCAATAAAAAAAGGAAAACGATTTGAATGGACCGAAGAATGTCAAAAAGCTCTGCTCAGCATCAAAGAGACTCTCGCATGCCCTCTGACGTTGAAGAAATTGAGTCCGAAAAAATGTTGTTTTTATATCTCGGAGTCAGCGATACAGCTATTAGTGGCATCTTAGTGCGAGAAGAAGGGGTGCAACAATCGCCCGTCTATTATGTCAGCAAGGCTTTACACGATGCCGAACTCTGTTATTCTCCTATGGAAAAGCTTGCCTTTGCACTCCTCGTTGCTGCTGGGAAACTACGCCCGTATTTTCAAGAACATTCCATCACCGTTCGCACCTCGTACTTATTGCGACAGATTTTACACCGACCTGACACTTCGGGAGGAATGGTAAAGTAGGTTGTGGAACTCGGTCAATTTGATATCCACTATCAACCGAGGACCGCAATCAAGGCTCAAGTTCTATCTGATTTCATTGCCGAATTCACACTGGCTATAGTTGTACACGATGACGACCAACCATGGGTTCTCTACATCGATGGGTCTTCCACCGCAAACCACGCAGGCGCGGGAATAGTTTTGGCTGATCCCGAAAATAAGTTATTCTGCCATTCAGTCAAGTTTCTCTTCCCCGCAACTAACAACGAAGCTGAATACGAGGCCCTGTTGTCCGGAATGAACTTAGCCGAGTCGATGAACATTAAGTGCCTTAAAGTGTTTTCCGATTCGCAGCTCCTAGTAAACCAAGTCAATGGATCATACGAAGTCAAAGAACCTCGATTGATACCATACCTATATTTGACGAAACAAAAATTGTCGAAATTCTCTGTTCAAATCGAACACATCCCTGCGAACCCTAAACGTGAAACCGGACGCTCTATCCCGATTAGCTTCAAGTACCGGGATGGAAAGTGTAGAGTACGTTGAAGTCAGTCAACCAGAACAACCGTCGACACATTCTCATGAAGTCCTGGCTGTTTACCCGGCCACTTCCTAAAGGCCTCCGACGTGGATGGACTCGATCATTCAATAACTCAAAACCGGGGCCTTCCCCAGGATCCCAAAGAAGCTCAAACACTCCGAATTCGAGTTGCTCGGTATACTATGGACAACAGAACTTTGTTCAAAAGATGGTATTTGGTCCCGCTCCTGAAATGCTTGACCAAATCCAAATCTCGCTATGTTCTAGTAGAATTACACGAAGGGATTTGTGGAACTCACCCCGGTGCTCAAGTCTTGTCATATAAAATTATACGACAAGGGTATTACTGGCCGACATTGAAAGAGGATGCCGCAGCATGGGTGCGTAAATGTCCGAAGTGCCAAGTTTTTGCGCCTAACGCTCATCAACTTCCCGAAGTCCTTAAATCAATCTACATTCTTGGCCTTTCGCTAAATGAGGGATTGATCTCATCGGTCCCTGGCCCACCAGAAAAGGTGGTGTCCGGTTTGCCATTGTCGCTGTTGACTACTTTACTAAATGGGCCGAAGCAGAGCCATTAGCCACAATTACCGAACAGAAGGTTGTCGATTTCATATGTAAGTCAATCATCAACTGCTTCGGAGTACCGAATTCTATCATCCCCGACAACGGCAGATTCGAAAGCAAGAAGCTCAAAACTCTTTGCGAAGAATACGAGATCAAACACTTCTTCTCTTTGCCGTATCACCCTCAGTCAAATAGCTAGGTCGAAGCTGTTAATAAAATTATAATGACCGGGCTCAAAGTCCGGCTCGACGCCGCCAAAGGAGCCTGGCCGAAAAAATTACCGCAGGTTTGATGGGCGTATCAGACAATCGCGAGAACGTCCATGGGTTGAACTCCATTTTCACTGACATACGGGTCAGGAGCCGTTGTTCCAGTCGAACTCGGTCGCCGACATACCGAATTCAACACTATACCAAAGACTCGAACTCGGAAAACCTGAAGGCAAACCTCAACTTGCTTGAAGAACATCGCACTCATGCTGAACTCAAAAATGCTGCTTACAAACAAAGAAGCGAGAGATACATCAATTCCAAACTCAAACCTCGCACGTTTCAAGTTGGAGACCTAGTTCTCAAGAGGATCATTGGGCCTGACCCTGGTCCTCTTAAACCAAAGTGGGAAGAACCCTTTAAAATCATTGAAGTTCTGCCCCACGGAGCATACCGGATCGCACATACCGACAAAACTTCTCATCATTATCCGTGGAACGCCGTATTCCTGAAGAAGTTTTACCAGTGATTCACTAGAAGTCGTGTAACAGACTTTCCTTTTGATGAACCCTCCTTTCGCTCCTTTGAGGGAATGAAGTCACTCTTTTAATGTAACAAAATTCGAAGACTTTCACTTCTAAATCCGGCCAATAGCTCGGTATCGATGTAAACATTACGACACTCGATTTTGCTGATGCCTTGTAATACATCCAAATCCTATGTATGGTTAGGTCGGGCTAAGGTGCGTCTGCATTAATTCAGCCACATGATTTGATGGGTCCCATTGGCAGCCGATTACATTTGACTCTGTTGGGGCCATTCCATAATCGAACCGTGGTGAAGTTCGGTGAACCCATTTTAACTCGAATGCAGCGTGAACAACATCGAGTGTTTGCATGTATTCAAATAGCTTACAAATCGGTTTATGCTATAATTGAATTTATTATCAGATCAAGTTGAGCTCGGAAGTTGTCGTCACCAAAATGTCACAACTCGGTTTTAAGTTTAACTTAGTATAAAAATTATCATACCTAAACTCTTCTTATAAGTTAAACCCGAGTTACGACGTTAAATCTTATATCTTTTTCGCGTTCATCACAATTGGTCTTAAAATTGCAACGTTCATACAACAATCCGAATAAACTTATAATAAACACAAAAAATAGTTGTTCATTTCATCAAGTCGGGAATACATTCTAATTTCCTACTAAGAATGTCAACATGCTGACACCCCGACTAATAATGCAAAATTAAAATACTAAAATATAAAAGTTCTGAAATTCAAGCAGTATTTTCTTTTTCCTCGCCACTCCGGCCGATACCGCTGCTCTCTCCGATTTCAACACCATCCGGAGTCGCCAACAATAGTTCCTAAGATCGTTCCAGCAGAGCAACTTCCTTCGCAGTTGTCGTCGCATCAATAGCTGCATCAGATACAGGGAAAAATTCATGTCGAGGATCCGAGGCATCAATTAACACTTCCTCCACTGCGGGCGCAACATCGATCTCTCCGACTTCTTTATCTATCTACTTAGCCTTCTCCTCGGCGTACGCCTCAACAACCTTTTGGATTTTCTCTGGAGTCATGTCATCGAAATTTTGCTCGATGACCACGTCGGCGAGAGTTTCAATGTAAATATCTGCCAGCTGCTTTCTCTTCTTCTTTTCTCCCTCGAGGAT